AGCCACTCGAACTGAATGACCAACCCATGAATTCAAACTTCTACCAATGTGTGATTTTAGCGCAACCACCAACCAGTGTCATCCTTGGTGAGTATTTGTCCCGACTCCCAATAGGATGGAACACATTGGTCACAAAGCCTCATTAGAATTAGTGACCTGTAGCCAGTCATTAGCGAGCATCAGGTTATTTTTTGAGTGTTTGTTCGTAGTGATTTTATTGGGGTTATTTTTCAAGTCTATCCACGGATTGATATTAATGAGAAAAGGTTCCTGGGTTCGAAACCCAGTAGGTGTGTACTACCAACGATTCTCAAGCTAGGACCAAACAGCTGTCCAGTACTCCCTGTTTTACAATGGTTCTCTAACTGAAATCAGTCCGTTGGCAAACTCGAAAAGTAAGTTATTTATTGTCTATCACTAGGATACTGAAAGTTGTGTTTTATGTGGTTACGGTGAACTAAACATGACTTACAAAAGTGTGCATGTTGGAATTAACTGATACTTTAAATGATCTGAGCATTCGGTGTGCATTGAGAAACTTCTTGGTTTACAAATGTACTTTTTAGACAGGTAATCTAACACAAAAGAATATAGTAGCTGACTTTTGAGATAAATTAGCCACCACACAAAGCTACCTGATTTCAATATAGATTTCCATTTCAAGTAATATCATCTATTCAAAACAATTAGTTCCCTTTATCTAATATCATCTAAGATAAATTTGGCAGTAAATATCCGCATTATGCATTCATGCAGAAACGTGACCCTTAAGATATCAAGTGGCTAATAAATTACAGCATCGCACAACCATCCATACCCTATATGACTGACCCTGCCGATTTGAATATCTCATTGAAACTTCGACAAACTTATCACGCCCCCTTTATCTCTCATTCCTTTGTGTTCTGAGTGAAACAAAAGAGTTTCATCAAGCTATTAGCTCTTAAGATTCACTGGTAGTGTTGTTTTCTCATGATGTGAGGTCGTCAGCCTCAGACCAACTTTCTTTCTAACGGTTGGATGAGGCTTAAGAGTGCGTTGGCTGGGAATCGGTGTGTGAACCGCATGTGTAGCCACTGGTAATTGCTGAAATCAAACTGAATTCATTTAATTCTTTATGTCAAAGACACTAGCAGATAAAACTTGAAATAGAAGGATGAATGGCTACTTAACGTTCAACTTATAGGAAATAATCTGTTCTCAGCTCACAGAAGAAAATTCTCTTCGTAAATATCGAAACAAACCTCGACTAAGACATAAAAAATTGAGGGACTTACATTGAAAATAAACCTCAGTTTAAAAAACCTATGCTTACTAGTAACAGCATTGACAGGTATTCTTGAATGAATAATATATGTTACAGTTCAGTACTTGACATACAATAAAACCTAAAAGTACTTTATTAAACTAAAGAGTTGACAGGAACTAGCTCAATTACTCTATTATTGTATTATTATTCCCTTGGGTTCTTAGTGGAACATAGGGCTTCAACAACACATCTCTACTATGTTCTACCTTCTGCTGTCACCTTCATATGTACCTACGATTAACTGTAATCCCTCACCTCCCCCTGACACGATCTCCTCCAAGCAACGACCTAATCGTCACTTCCTATTCGGATTCCACTCGAATGACGGCCTCACATATGATGTTATCCAACGGTCTCCTTAACGCATACCCGATACGTCCTCATTTTTTCCTGCATATTTGTTAAGCGATAGGTTCTTGATTAGTTAGAAACTTCCAACAGTTTCTTCCTTCTAATTCTTTCTGACCATTTTTGATCTTCACTAGAAAGATAAGGCAGCTGTTGATAAAAGTGTGTAACTGGCTGATGGAAATGCTTTTCGTGACATCCGGGCCAAGTTTCTAACCCGTAGAGAAGGACTGACTAACTTATAATTTATGCTGAAATCCTAATCTTTTTATCTATGCTGAGGTGGAGTGATGAAGGAGTATCTTACCCTTTGGGTTCTGGCCTGCTTTAACATCATCCGTTCCGCCTGTGTTGGGAATGATGCTTCCTAGATTAGTGACCCCTTTCTTTCGCTGATGTCGATCGGTGCTGGTTGTTGTTGTTGTTGTTGTTGTTGTCGGTTGTATAGTCGTGAGTATCTTTACCTTTCTGTCACTTACTCGAATTAGAATACACTAAACAATCAACTGCAGGACAGTTATAATCTTAACGCTAAACATCAGCAATAGTTTTTACATGAATTCATTTTCCAAATTAAATTATCAAAATTCTGCCTAAGAATCTGTGGTAGGTAGGTAAGCATATATCAAGATAAAATAAATACTCAAAAAACAAAAACTAAATTCGTCCATTTTTATTGTCTATCATATCTATTCGAATAGCTTTTTATTGCCTTTTATTGATTCTAAAGCTGTTTGCTTCCATTTACGCATAGAGCGCTTTCTCTCCTTTATTTTGGTCCTGCTAAATTATCTCTTGTCTGAGAAATAAAAATTTGCATAAAAATTTCACTATCTTTCACAAAATCTACCCTATCTGTTCCACAAACATCAACCTTATTGTCTCTGCATCATTCAAATTTACAGTCTGATTATCGCACTAGAGTGAGACAATAATGATAATATTCATATTGTGTGATATTATTTTATATTCTGTCAATCTGTAGCAAGATAAAGATAAAGATGGATAAAGAAGGCAATATTTGAACAGTTTCGAGACCATTTTTATTTTATACGCTCAACTCTTGACTGCTTAATTATTCGAGAATTATTGGGGAGATAGAGAAAAAAAAGCCCTGTCTACAATAGGCTGTTTCATGATGTTTATTGATGTGAAAATTCAAAACAAAACACGGAAGCTATTTAAACTTATCAAAACAACATGGTTCTAAAGCTTAGGAGTTGAATACTATAGCATTTTAGATCTTAGAGGTAATATTTTTACAGGATCGATACTTTTAATAAATTGCAATGAATCTATAAACAGAAAATTATTAAGTATTTTCTAACATTTTTTGAAGATATTTTATTTATCTTATACCTTTACTTTCCCAGTGGAGCATAGGGCTTCAAGCTAGAGCTTTGAAGTTTCGGCAGCAGTAGTGTTTATTCCTACAAGGTGAGTTTATCAGCATTATCCCCAACCTCTGCTGTTTACTGGTTTTATTAATGGTTCAGTGAAATTCAGAAGTCCGTTGGCCGGGAATCGAACCCTGGATAACATGGGTGGTTGGCGAGCATTCTACCGCTGAACCACCGACGCATTATTTGAAGATAGTTTTCGTATTATTGGTCAAATTCACAGACTTCACTGAATGAATATCAGCAGTTCAGGCAAGCTACCACTGCTGGCCTCATCAATGTGTATTTATCAATTCACTGCCTCGTATGGAGCCAGGTATGTCGCCCGTACCCAGTGTTCACTTTCCAAATGTATCACCGAACACTTATCAACATGATTTTACAAAGGAGAAAAATGATACCCCGGCAGCTCCATCTTAGAACATCTGATAGATTCCGGACACCAAGCTACACGCCAAACTAACTTCAAAGTCGTCTACAGAGTAAGAAGTAGTCTTCCTAAAGGTGTACGAATCAGAATTCTTCAAACCGCAGAAGCAATGGCGATTCACTTGCTTAGCCCTGAACTCTGCATACAGAAGAAGCTTGTTCAATCACTACACTTGCAACGGACGTAATCTATCTTATTACCTGACAAGTAAATTCTACCTAATCTTTTTTTGTCTGAGTCTTCATTAGTATTATTTTGTCTTCTCAATTGTAATATTTTACATTGTCAACCTTCTTGTTCTCTACCCCCACCTGATTTAATTTCTACACCTCATTACCACTGTTACTGACTTGACCAACGCTCAATTTCTAGTCAGTTATGTTAGGTCATCCAACTTGTTCGCTCAATTTCAGTTCTAATTTAAATGGCATTATTCTCTACCCCACTTCTACTTAGTCTCTACCTGTAATTACCTCTGTTGCTGCCCTGACCTAAGCTGAAATATTTTAGTCAATTATATTACGTCATTCAACTAACTAACTCAATCTTACTTTAGTTGCTGTCTAATTAACCTTGTTTCTATATTAGATCATTCTTGTATTACCTGATCAACTATCTAAACTTGACAAACCTCATGTACACACGCATAAACAAATAATTATATATAAATGTGATTGTACCGCTATGTGAATGAATTCGTCAAAAAGAGTCTCTTCGCTGAACGTCTTCTCTTTTTCAGGCAAAAATGTTTGCAAAATTTACCACTGATGAGATTTATTTTTAACAAATTTAAAAACTGGCTTTCTGTCGTACTCTAAACCATTCAGAATGTTTCGATATAGCACACAATGAAACTAACTATCTCTCTCTGGAGTTGGCCATAAAGACATAGAGATGAATCCTCAGCTGTAAATGCTTTCTCGCAATCAGCCTGTTGGATTTTTCAAACCTTGGTATAGTTGTATGCCCCACTTTGCTACGGGACTATTCCTTTATTCTGGTGGAAATCAATGAAGCCTGATAGGCACAGAAAAAGTACTTTGACATGAACAAAATGTAGTTTCCAAGTGCTGGACTGCAGTTATTTGAATTTCAGCTAACATTTAACAGCTTAGTAAGGCTATTACTTATTTTATGTTTTTAATAAAATATCTTATAAGAGAATTCGATATTTAATTGGGTGAGTTCTTAAACAAGTACTAAGTAGCATGATGCTGTAACATTGAAAATATTTAAAAGTTTTGACTAAGACGAAAGTGTCAAACTTCTTAGCTATCACTTTTGACAGTTGGCTGAAATGAATTTCAGGCTTAAAGCCCAGATGTGAAGGAAATAAATAAAAATAAAATTCATTTCATGTTTCAGATAACAATTAATTTATTTCCCCATTCAATATACCTTTGTCATAAAAACGTTTATGCTTCACCAAACCATTCATTTTATAATTGTTTATTTTCTACAATATTTACAGTTTATTAAAATTACTTTATTATTTCTTTTCCCACCGAACAATATGTTATTCATTTTCCACTGGAATGCAGAAAAGTCAAATTGACAGCTTTTGAAGATGAAAACGATATTCTTGAATTCTTCTACCATCTTCATTATTTTTTGAGAAACAAATGTGCTTTTAATACAACTTTTCAATGAAATTCATTTCAGCCAACTGTCAAAAGTGATAGCTAAGAAGTTTGACACTATCGTCTTAGTCGAAACGTTTAAATATTTTCAATGTTACAGCATCATGCTACTTAATACTTGTTTAAGAACTCACCCAATTAAATATCGAATTCTCTTATAAGATATTCTATTAAAACATAAAATAAGTAATAGCCTTACTAAGCTGTTAAATGTTAGCTGAAATTCAAATAACTGCAGTCCAGCACTTGGAAACTGTACCACTGCTTACAAGCGACTGACTACTCAATGGGCATCTTGTAGTTCTAATGCAAGTTTACAATTGGTAGATTCATTTAAGTTGGATGAAAGGACAGATACTCTCCGATGGTATTGAATGTCAATGTCATAATACCGGGAACTTACAGAGGTTAAAATGTATGACCCATTAAATTGAAATCCACTAGCTGAACGGCCAAATAGCTCAGCTAGTAACATGAAGTTCCCGGATTCGATTCATGAAGGATTCGCAAGCGCAAACTGACCGAGATTTCCGAACTAGGACAAAAATATTGTTCTTTGGTCGCTGACTACAGGAGAAAAACTATTAATCTTATTTTCCGTGACATTCTGCCAAACAGAAAAGGTGAGGTTTTTTCAGCTAATACAGCATAATCACAAAGTACTAGCTGATTCCAAGGTACATTTCGTCATTTTTTAGATACTTTATCAATCTCTGAAGGAATTTAGAATAAATGGAAAGTTTAATTCTAATCCGGAGGTCTAATAAGTGGATTTTTTTCTGTTTCCTTACATCCCCAGTGGAACATAGGGCTTCAAGCTAGAGGCTTGAAGTTTCGGTAGCACTGGTGTTGATTTTTACGGGATGGGGTTGCTAGCATCATGCCCAACCTTCCTTCTTTACCAGTCTTATTACTGGCTTAACGAGGTAAAGGAGTGCGTTGGCCAACGATCGAACCTTGGACCACATGCGTGGTAGGCGAGCATGTGACCACTGTACCACCGACGCTTAATAAGTGAAATAGCTATCCAGTATTCCTCAGAACAAAATGATTCTTAATCTGTTGTTAGCCCGTAGCAGAGTCTTTCCTCAAGAAATATCGATTTAAAGACGGTTAACATGGATTCTTACCAACTATCTACATTATGACCTATTAAAAAGTGTTTTTAAAACTCGTTTGAAATGAAACCACCAATTAAGACTTAAATTTATCAAGTCAAAAATAAACTCTGTACTGCCTCAAAATGACTGTCATACTTATTGAACATATTAATTTAAATGTCATGAATATAAAAAGACCTTTAAATGTAAACAAGACAAGAATAAGTTGGAATGATGAGCAGTTGTACTTCAATTTATTTATTTAAGCTCATCAAATATACCTCAGTTTAAATTTTGGTCATGAATTGACATCATTTCGAGAATCATTGAAAACCCAAAATCAATAGACAGTGATTTAATCCTAGTTCGATCCTGTAACTAGTGAACTTGTAAACTAATGTTCCAGACTATGAGCCACTCTTATTGTATAAAGGTTGATGATACTACACAATCGCCAAGTGGATTAGGATTCGAATCTGGGAGACACTGATTAAAAACTGAATGCTTAAGCCAGTGAACCACATCTCCTATGTAACTGATGACATATCGTAATGAAATTTACACTGGAATTAGTCGGGCTTTTTTTAAAAATTCAGCATACTACATGCACATATTTAGTCAAGTTATCGAAATTAGTTTGTATTCTGATACCTGTACTAGAATGGCGTGTTGCATGAATATTCCAAGTCTAACGTGAACATTTTAAGGATGTAGAGACTGACAGACATTGGAATCGATATGGACTTTTTTCTGCTTTCAAATCACTTCAAAAAAGACCTGAACAGACGTCACTGAATGATCCCTGATCACTAACATTAATTCTAACTGTTATTGTTAAGCACATAATATAAACTTTTCTGGTTTTTGAACTCACTTTCAGTATTTTCAGATTGATTTAAATACTTTGACTCAGGTATTTCTGAACTAGTTGGTAGACTAGTTCCCATTGTTGTTGTTGTTTTCGTGACTGTTGTCGACGGGCTTACTGATGATACTGTTGTCGGATGAATTCTTTGAATTAATTCTTGATTATTATTGTTATTATTATTAGTATTAATATCCGTACGTAATCCATATGATCTTTGTTTGCCTTCATGTTCACTAGATAGAGTAGTAGTAGTAGTAGTTAACTTTCCCGAACGATTACTACCACTATTTGTATGTTTCATTTGTTTTCGCATATCGTAATCATCATTTTTATCATATAACCTAGTACTAGTACTCTGGTGAATAATAGCAAAAGTAGTGTCGATAGAGACAGGAACAGCAGGTGGTGGTGGTGGTGATGGTGGCAGTGGTAGTGGTGACTGATGTTTGTTGTATTCATGTGAATTCATTGTTAAACTACTAAGGGAATTTTCAATTCTAGCCACTGAATTCTGATTGGTTAATAATAATAATGATAATTTTTGACCGAATTTTTCATTCGTTCGTATTTGTTGATTCATATTTAATGATTTCTGTCGACATGCAATTATTGTCCTTGTCTTCTTATTCTTAGGCTTATTCTCTTCCTGTCCTTTATTGTTAATTAAATAAACCGATTTATTGACATTGGAGGAATTATTATTATTATTATTATTATTATTATTATTATCATAATCTCTGTTATCCTGGGCCGTAGTAGTGGTAGTGTGCATGCTGGAATCTTGTTGCTGTTTCGGTTTCATGTCCTCGTTGACATTCTCCTCCTCTATCTGTTCCTCAGTTTTGCAAAACTAAATAAATAAACAATCAAATCTCAAAAATCGTGTGTTTATTTATTCATTTATTTATTTCATTTATTTTAAATATAATTACAATGATAATGATGTAATTAATTGAAAAAGAAAGGGGATGGGTGGGGGGGTCGTATATTTCACCCCAATGATCATATCAACATTTGACCGATTCATTTGCATTCCGAAAGAAAAGAACTTTAAAAACTTTTCAAATCGGTTACAATCATCACACAGAAGAATGCACACACATATCTACAAAATATTTATTTAAAAAATAAAAGAAATAGTTGATTGTATTTGATTGTAAAAAGTGTAGGCGTAGGGAATGACGATCACTTAGACTATTGGATGGATGTCATAAGTTTGTTTTAGGAGAAGTATGTTTGTTTGTTTATTTGTATGTCATTTTGCCTTGAATGCATATGTGCGCGCCAAAATGTTGGTGTGTGAATGTGTGTTTACATATATATATATTATAGGGACATTATAACGATTGTAAATTGTGAGAAAAGGACGCAAATGATCTTATTTGAAAAAAGGGACTATTAGTCAGACATGAATATAACACATCTCTTCCTAGTTAATGATCAACCGAATAGATATGATGAAAAGATTACGGGAAGCAACACGTAATTCTCTAGTGATTTAATAAGCTTGATGACTTGATTTTCATTTATTTCTGTACAGACTAGTTGAATGGTATAGTAACTGATTAACTAAAACAGTTGAATCCATTGGACTCAAAAACTGAACAACTAAGGTCACCAATATTTATATTAGTTGAGTAAATCAGATTAGCGTGTATATCCTGTTTATTTGGTACAATTTGATTTTTACAGAAAATCAACTAGTCGTTACAAACCTTTTCCTCTTTGAATTCTGATGAAACTTTTGCCATATTAAATCTGACAGCTTAAAAGCAGATAAAGATTAACCCAAAAGCTAAGTCATGAACCACAGTGAAGTAAAAACTGAAACCACTGAGAAGATTTATAGCTCAGATGGACATTTTTAATACTGCTGTGTTCTCTGAGCCGGGTGGTTTAAATTACGACGCTTTAATTACTCACACTGCACACTAGATAGGAACTAATGCCTTGAGTCTAGTCGTTTTTCTTTGGTGCAGGCTGAATTTTGTCAGAAACGATGCTCACCATCACCCTGCACTCTGAATTGTTGTTAGATGCTTGGAGGTGATCAGAAAGAAGTCTTAGACACAGGTTTTGTTTGTTGGAGACTCTCGTCAGTTAGGAGCATCTGCAATACTGAAGAAACTAATGTTCATTCTAAGACCCAAACACGAATCACTCAGTGCTGGAGTCAGGGACGTTACCACTGAGCAACTGGGGTTCGCTACTGACCTCCTTCAGGACTGTAATAGATACTTTGGCTGTACAATAAGTAGTAACTAATATCGTGCATCGTTTGATGCAGATCGAATTCTACCAGACAAGCTTTCATTATCCCTCTGAACGACAGCTTCACCTGTGACCTCATACAACCATACCAAAACTAAATTTTG